GTCGAGTATTATCCATAGAAATATGGGGTAAATATAATATCAAAATTACGTGCAAAAGTGGTTGAACGCTTTAATTTTACTAATGTGTCCTGAATTTTTCTGAGAAAACAGACACACATCCAATACAATATTAATTTATACTATGCAACAAAGAGACAAGAATTTTTTTGATCAGTTTAAAGCACTTGTATCGGTAAATGGCTGTTTTAACACGTATTCTGTGAGTAGTGATTTTTCTCTTTAAGGTACGTCACTCGTCAGCTTTTTAGAAAAGTTCACGAAGAAGCTTTTACTTCAAAACTACTTATTAAAATTCAATTTTTATAACATATTTAAACTCAACAATGTAAATTTTTTAACATTCAATGAAAAAACTGCTCAAAAATCTACAAAGAAGCAAGATTTATGAGGGACTATTTCTTTTGGTGGAAGGATATTTAGCAGAAAATTCTGCAAATCTGCACATTTATAAAATTTAATGTAATGAAAATTTAGCCTCACATACTTTTACTCGGAGAATATTTTCCGTTTTGAAATTGCTAAAAATATTTAATAATAATTTATATTTTTAGACTAAGTTTTACACCTTCCCTCAACAAACTTTTCCAAAAAATGAAAATATATTAAAGAAGTCAAGGTCAAATTTACACCATTGTTTGCCTGAAAATCACATATTTTGACAAATATTTCAAAATTAACATCACTGACCCCACCTTCTTCTTTCATTATTTGAAACTACTCGATACTTGTGATTGATCAGCACTCAAGTCGTAAAAAGTTTGATATAAGAATTTTTTTTATTGCCTATTAAGTTTTTTAATACCCCAAATATGTTATTTTTTAGTGCAAAAAGGTCACACAATAATTTACGCGCATTAATTTGCAAGATTTGTTTAATGATAAATATTATTCAAACTATTTTACGTAAAATAAGGTTATATTTATTGCCATGCTTACATATCTAATCAAATATAATAAGGGTTAAAGTAATTAACTAAAGAGATGAAATTTAAGTGCAAAAAGGTCATCTTAAATGTACCGTAGATCAGTAGGATGCACACTGACCCCCTATTTTCTTTGCGATTTTGAGTTACACTTTATGAGTACTTATCCAAAATATACTTCTCAAAAAATCCTTGATATAACAAATTTCAAGAGTGACTCACCTTAACGTTACACCAGCTGCACTCATTGGATGGTATTTAGAAGCAAGCGGAGGGATATTCAATCTAAGTCTAGTTCAGCCAGCTGGCTTCCTTTTTTAAACCCCTTACCTGCCCTGATAGAGTCCTCTGGATGTAAATATTTTTGCCTCATCCGAGATTCTATGTACTGTAGAAACCCACTTTTGGTAAAATTTCATTGTCTGAAATAGATCCATAGTATAAATCAGATACAAATAAAATTGAAGCTGTTGTGACATACATCATTAGGGATTTTAAAGTGGTTGATGATTTTTATTCACTGTTACATTGACTTTGGCATAATAGAGATGAGAGTTTTTGTATTTTTTTTTCTGTAAAATCAATAATAGAAACACAGTTTAGAAATTCATATATACAGGCGGGGAACTACACATGTCGATATATTAAGTTAAAACCCCTGGAAACATATATACATGTAAATAACAAAATATCTTACTTTAATACATATACAAGTATCGTTTATTATATAGTTGATATTTAGCGGGTGTTGTGACCTATGACATAAGGCAATCCACCGCATACACTACTGCAAGTTCGTCTTTCGTTCAGGGAATGTTATGAACTTGGCACCAGTAAGCTTGTCTTTATACCGACGTCCGCATATTGCATTTCTCTCCAGAATGTATTAATTTTTACGTTGAAAACGATGTTAACATCACTGTACTAATCGTACACAACATAATGATAATGATACGTAATGGTGGGTTCATTTTTTCGGCGTATATCATAAATCAAAATATAAGGTTGCGAACTTCTTTGGAACTGTGTGCTGACGACGGATTTTCCCGTTATTTTACGATCATGAAAAGGAGCACACGGCGGGTGTGACCGGTCGGCGGGGGAATCACTCACTCACTCCTCCAATCCATCGTATTCCCCCTCTGATGTCTTGAAAGCCCGTGGTTCCTCTGCTCCTTTTTGTATTGTTTTATGGACCTTTGAGATTGAATACTGATCGTTATCTACCTATATATCATTCATATGTAAAATTTTGATTCCCCGTTGTGGCTCCATCCTACCCCAGAGGGTCATCTTTTAAACAATTTTGAATCTACACTATGCCAAGAATTTTTTTTTGGCTCTATGGATCTTGAGATTAAGATTTCTCAAACAAAATTTGCAAGATTTTTTTTGGATTAACTCTTTTTGAAAGAGGTCGGACTCCTTTAATCTGAATCTCCTTTATTTAAGAAAAAATATTTGGTTCTTTCTAATTGTAGTCTGGATCAGAATGCACTGTCATGCACGAAAATTTGATGCTTCCTTTTGAGTTTGAAAATCTGAAGAGAAGCTTTATTATCGCCTCGGAACAGAGTTGGAGTGAGATACTTGCAGTGACGCGCTAGGCTGTGTATAAGAAGGTGAGAGAGAGAGAGAGGGTGTATGTGTGTGTCAGTTTCTGTTCATATGTTAGTTTGACATGAACAAAACAGGTGTTATGTAATTTGCATCAGCTGGGTCTATGTTGAATGCTGCATAAACGCTATAGGTGAGGAACGTTCCTCTTTGCGGTACCCCTGTGACATTTAATAGAAAAATTTTGTTTTAGAGAATTTGAATACTTTATCAAGTACATTTATAAACATTATCATTTTCAAAGTACTAATGTGAAGACGTTAATTTTGACTTTCAACTTCTAAAAATAAATCAGCGGTTAGAGTGTTTGCTCTAGAGTCGCGAAGTGAAGAGTTAATCTTTACGTCACGGGTTCGTTTCCCATTGTGGAAAAGGGAGATCGGTCCTTCGGGTGTCATAACAGTATTACACTTTGGTTCACGTCAAATCATGGCTGACGCAAAATAATCCCGGAATCTCCTTTTCCGATACGGGCATTTGGATACGAGACTGGAGCTGAATTTTTTTATGAGATGAAAAACAACAAATGTAAACTTCCTGTATTGACCAGATTTATTCAAATTTAGGGCGTGTTGATTTTTCTATATACTGTCAAGTGTGGGGAGTGATTGGGCCCTGGACTAGATTTTCAAACACCTGCTCGACTTCGACCGAAACAAACTTGCGTGCCTTGCTGGATGGCTATGTATTTTTTGATACTAAAATCTTTATAAAGAATGGTTTTACAAGATCTGAAAAGGAAACTTCTCAAAAGTTTGTTTTGAATTAATTAAATCTACTCGAACTTGCGCATTTTTGGTAAGAATATATAGCAGAAATTAATACTGTTGTGACACCTGCATCAGATGAGACCGTGCAAAACGAGGTCTCGTGTCACTGTAGGTGCTGGCATGATAAAGATTAAACACTACTAAATGGCCATAAAAGCCGAGTACAGATCTAAATTTGCAGCTCTTCACCGCCAGGTAGCGGCAACTCCATATGAGTAAAAATTTCTTGAGAGGGACTTTAAACAAGGTACAAACAAACAAATAAAATAAATAAATCTTTTGTAGAATGGTTCCTTTTGAACTTTTAATTCAAATTCAGCCAATTTCAGAAAAAGTAAAAAGATACTCTGAATGGGCATGCAAATACGATAATATTACACTAAGCTTATTAGCACTGGTAAATGTTATACTTGATTTTTGACATAACATGTTTAGAATATGATCAAAGAAGTGGAAAGTTGATTTTCTTTATTTCGAAAACAATCATCCATCATTACATTTTGATAATTTAATTCATAATAATAATGAACGCATTATATAGTAACAATCAAGTGATCATTAATTCAATGACAAAGTATACATATTTTTTCAATATGAAAAACCCAAATTGACTTCCTTCACTACTCCCTTTGGACTATATTGCTTTCAGCGATTACATCTCGGAAAAATGAAAGCTTCCGAAATATTTCAGCGTCAAGTGTCAGATATATCAGCATATACCATTTGTTTACGTATCTTTTGAATGAACCTCTTATGTGCATGTTTCAGATATCAGTATTTTTAGGATTATTTATCTTAACACGTGATCTCAATAGTCGGTTGGGCTGCCGATTCTATTTTATTAAGATATTCAATCCATTGCTCGTCATTAATTTCAAGGACTGGTTCAATTTCTGATGCTTCCTTAGCACATTTTACTAGTGATGCTATGAATGTTTTGCGTTTTATCCAGCCAAGCAGATCTTTCCTCGATGAAAACCTCAGCAATTCCGAGAAATAAAACTTTCCAAACGTAATGAGTGACATCCTTTTTATAATTCCATGCTGTAACACATAGACTGATGAGTTTTCTTTCACTAAAAACTCTTCTGGTAGTGAAAGCGACTTCAAATCAATATTATTGAGACCACATGCTTTAAATATTTCCCCTAGCTTTTGACCTGATTTGTTTATACATATTTTCATATCATTAACGCTCATATACACCAGTAAAAGAAATTGTTTTTTCTTGTTTGAATCAAGACACATTTTTTCTAAATGCGAGGCTAAATAACGTAGCGGTCGATTGAAGAATACAGCGCCATGTTTTTGCAATTCGCTACATTTAAAAAAAAGTGTGCAGATCTCTGGGAATCCAACGTACAAATTCTTAAATCTTGAGGCAACTTTTTCAACGGTAGAGAAAGGCGTTTCTGGTTTGTAAGCTTTGAAAATTGTGTGAAGGATCTGAATCCGTTCTCCTTTTGATATATCCCCCCAATTCAAACCAAAAGATTGTAGCTCATTCTTTGAAGAGAAACAATTTTTGACCTCCTTTTCAATTTTTTTCCACGCTTCGTCAGTCGAAGTTATAATCAGAAATGTTTTGTTTTCATTTGTTTCCTGAGTTCGTTTGCATAAAGTGATTAAGTTTTGAAGAATATCACTTCTGTCCACGTCAGGAACGTCCTCACTTGGTAACGGATCCTCTACGATGACAGAGTCCTGAAAATTACTTACAACAAAATTTAATATGTCCTCTATTACAACCGGTTCCCTTCCAGTAAAGGACGTATAAACTTGTTTAGCTGTTGCTGATTTCCCCGACCCCCATTTTCCTATGAAACATAGAATTTTCCCATCGTTTTTGAGAAATTTACATGCCTCATGGAAAGTGGATGTTTTGTAGAATGGTGTATCTATATAAAAATGATAATTGATAGAATATAATTACTTTGACATCGTACGATTTGTCTTCATTGAATTGCATAATTCATATAATTCTTTATCTATACTTAAAACATAAAATTATACCTTTGGATAATAAAGGAATCTGTTCATCTTTTCCTTTAGAAGCTTTCTCTAAAATTAAAATTGCTGTAGATTAGTTTAATCAAACGTTCGTAGATCGAATATTTCTGTTTTGTTCAATGTTTAAACATTAACTCTAGAAATTATATTCCTCTTGTGGGAGAAGTATAACTGTTTAATGTTTAATTGTAAAAGAAAAATATAAGAAAGAGGGAGATTTTGTTCAAAGTCCGTAAAATATTAGAAATACGAATGTAATGGCGGAACACTTAGTTTGAAAAATGTCTCGTAGCATTTGCCTTATGATAGATTGTATTTGCTAGTAAGATCGTTGCATCGACCAAAGACCTTGCAAAATTATGACTATAAACGCGGCTGTTTTTATTCTTTTTTATTAACATGTTTGTCAGTAAATTACCTCGTTTTAGAGACCAATTGTACATAGAGCGTATCGCATCAAATTAGATATATGTAAACTCCGTATGCAGGTGATAAAGGTATATCGCTGCATAAATAAGGAAAGTTACAATTGAAAAGTGAAAGTCATCACGTTTATCATGAAGATTTGTTGTTAGGTAACAATTAAAATCTTTCTCTTTCTATTTCAAATAAAATATTCAAATATTAAACAGATGTGTCAAATTCTGAGATAACCTTTATCATAAACTCTCTGGGATATCTTGTGTTCACCTTTTAAATAGAACAATCTATTGTTTATTGATAATATTTCGTCATTATATCTAAATGTCGAATTGAAGGACAAAAGTGTTTTCGTCTTCTCTGTATAGTATTTTAAATACATTCTGCTTTACAAAAATGAGTCTGCTATTATACAGGTCGGGAATGGTATCAATGGAAATTGTCACAGATTGAGTATATGATCATATCATTTGTGAAATCAATGTAACGTCAAAAGGAAAAATAACTTTTTTCATACCATCATCTATAGAAACACTTTACAACTTTTTAATATAAGTAATCAAATTTGTTCTCACTTGATCTTCTGAAACACACAACAGCTACTATAATGAGGATAATAAGGAGGACAAGTACTCCAACTGACACGCCTATATATAGCCACGGTAGAGATGAGGGGTCGCCATCATACACAACAGAACTTCACACAAAAAAGTAAACATTTTAAATCATTGTCATTTCATATTTTAAATTCAATATCTTGTGATGTCTACATACCAAGCAACGAAAAAATACACCCAAAATATTTTTTTAAAAGCAAACATTTGAAATATACAATATTTTTGTTATTATTTCTTTCTTTTCAATTGATGTGAAGAATGAATGTCTTCAATCATTCTAATATTTGTGAATTCTTTAGTTTAAAATCATCATTTAGAGTTCTATAGCGGATAAAATAATCTTGTCAACAAACACATTTATCATTAAGTCAAATTCTGACAGATTTTTTTTTCATACTGATTATGCATCTTTCGTATTCTATTTATATTAATATCTATTACATACCTAGTCATAAACATAGGAGTTTTGCATATGCAATATGCCTGACGTCACAATGGACGTATGCTGGGCTGATATGGATTTGCGAGAGTGATACGGATCAATATCACGCCCCTGTAGTAACTTAAACCTCAAAACAGTACTTGTGATCACACATATTTTTTTTGGATGTAAGGATAATCTTATTGACAAATGAAAGATAGTTTTTGAATCACGGATCGGACATATTTGAAATAGAAGTAGACACAAACCCAAACCATATGAGAAAAAAAGTCCGTGTATGATTATTTACTTATTTTCTTCTCAGCTTGATGTGTACAGTATTTTATTATAAAGTATGTAATAAACATAATAAAACGCACCCTTTTCCACATCACATTCTGTATCAGCCCTCAACCAATATCAGCCCTGTCTATATATTTTATTCTTTTCTCAGATATAGATACAGACAAGTATATGAGGTCACACCTTTTTATCGTTTCAGGTTGTATTTACAAGCCCAGTAAACTCAAAAGACAGAGTTTGCCTCCCCCTTTTATGGTCGCCCGCGTGGCGCAGTGGATAGAACGTCTGATCTAGAGTCTCGAGGTTAGGAGTCAATCCTTAAGTCGCGGGTTCGAATCCCACTGTAGGACATGGAGACCAGTCCTTCGGATGAGACCATATAAACCGAGGCCCCGTGTCGCAGTAGGTGCTGGCACGAAAAAGATCGCTCCCTGCTCAATGGCCCTGAGTGCCGAGTTTAGGACAAAATTTGCAGCTCTCCACCGGCAAGTGGTGGCGTCTCAATATGAGTTAAAAATTCTTGAGAGAGACGTTAAACAACAAACAAGCAATCTCCCATTTATGGCCTTTTTCGCATTTTTAAAGAATTTGATCTCAAGATTCTAATGCATTTTTTCCAGATATTTCTTGTAATTTTTGTAAATATAATGTATATATATTCTGAATGCCGGTATTATGAAGTTTCTCGAAATAATTTTAAAAACATTCATTCTGTTGCAATTTCAACAAAATATGCCCAACCCACTTACAGTGGAACATTTGAAGATAACAAACAGTATCCAAGATCAAAACTCCATAAAACAATAAAAACAGGAGCAGAGCAAATACGGACCTCCAAAATATCAGAGGCTGGATCAGGTGCCATGGAGGTGTGAGCATCCATTGTCGACCGGTCACACCCGCCCCGTGCTCCGTATCATGATCGGGGAATAACGGAAAAAATCCTTCGACAGTTTAGTGTAAAAAGATGGTATAACAGTTAGTATGAAAAACGTCATTCAGCATTTGACTCAATGATAAATTGTATTTGCTGACAAGGTCATTGTATCGGCTATTGAACGTACAAAATGATGACTTTACACGAGGCTGCTGATATACTTGTTTCATACACTTGTTTGTCAATAATTTACATTGTTGTAGAAATTGTCCATACGAAGAAACCGCTCTTGTGTATCGAATCAACTGATATGTATAAAAACTATGTATGCAGGTGATGAAGATATATTGCTGCTTAAGTAAGGGAAGCTGACTATAGAACATTAAAATCATCAAGTTTATTATAGAGTTTGGTTGTTAGATTTCCATTAACGTCTTTTTCAAGTAAAATATCCAAATACGAACAGATATGTCAGACTCTGTAATATCTTTTATCTCAAGCTCGTAAATTTCGATTGCGGCAAATATCACTGAAATAATGCATGTTGTTTAACTTCAGATACAAGAAAAAAATAGTAAATCAAATAAGAGAGATTAAGAACAAATCTTTTTTGCAACTTTGATACAACATACAATTAAATAATATAAAAACAAGATTACTTTATCCTCTCTATTCATCTTCTATCAAGTATTTAGTAATATTCCTTTATCACCTGTATACGGTGTTTATACGTCTCCATTTACCTCCGCAATCAGTGCAATAAACATTTTGATCGAATCAGGCAACTTGCAAATAAATTGACTGAATATTTTTTTTTAATAGAAAAAATCTTTAAACAATGCAACAATTTTCATTTAATTCATCTTAAGGTGATTCGAACCTGTCACCAAAGTAATTCGATTTTTAAAAAAATGATAAGAATGATACTAGAGGATTTCCTGTCTTGAATAATGACAGTTTTGATATGGGTCAATGCGCTAGTTTCCATGGCAACGGCCTCTGAACATGAGAGTGTTGAAATTGTCTGCTGTGCAAAAATAAACAAGTAATAGACATAATCAAAATTAAAAAATAAAAAGATTTTATTTTCAATCGTATTTTTATATCATGGAAATGAAAGATAATAACATTGTCTTCCTACAGAATAAATAAAAGTATGGAAATAGTAAATGATGTTTAAGAAATTTAATCCGAATTTCCTCAGACTGCTCTTAAAAATGCCATTTTCAGCATGACTTCCAATTGATAAAATGGCAAAAAATCATACCAAGAGTAATTGGAATTTTCTCTTTTAACTTTCTTTGAATAGCAGTGAAACAAAGCTTTAAACCTTGGAAAAAAAATTTGTAGGTTCATGAGTCCGGAAGAAAGATATAATCATCTGACTTTCATTGGGTCTTGCTCAATTTTTAGCCTTTTCCAAAAAAAAGCATTTATATATGAATAGATAAACACAAAAAATCTTAAAAGTTTGCATAAAATAATCAAAAACATTTTATAATTTATCAATTCTGAACATTTGAGGTGAAAATATTCAATAAAATAGTCATTAGCTTTAGAAACATTAAAATAATATTTCAGTTCGAATTTCCTCTGACATATTGAAACTAAATGCATTTTTCAAGTATGCAATGTAATATTTAGGCCAACATTTTTTTTCTTTTAAGCTTACAAACCTGCTGCTCAAGTTTTTGAATTATCAGGGGAAAAAATGAGGAAAACAAGATTTTTTTCTTTCTGATGTCTAATTGAATTGATTGAAATTTCAAATTTATGAACTCATACTTCCGGTTTTATGATTATGGCGGCAGTAGACCTGCAAAGTCTATAGGTATAGCAGCACCATAGCTTGGTTCATTGTAAAAAAAATTGATAATCTTTTGTTTTTTATAAATATGCTTTTCGTTTTTGGGTTTTTTGTTTGTTTGTTTGTTTTTCTTTCTTTTTTTTTTGGGGGGGGGGGGGGGGGGGGGGGGGGTGTATATCAGATTTTGAATTTCAGTAAAATTGTAGATTCTGAAAATTCTCTTTTCATACAGGGATAATACATTATAGTCATATTTTAAATACTAAAACAACCTTTGCATACACATGAGAATTAATTTTAATACAACCAATTAATGTACTTAAAGTATTGCTTTCCATTATACATGTACATTATATGTTTATTCTAGTGTCTTGTTCATTTGTAATTTACATGATTTTTTTTCATGGGCCCTGAATTAGTTATAAATCGTTCTCTAATTCTATAATAAAATCATTTAATAGTTTATTTATTTTCATATCTAAAAAATTAAAATGCTTCATGTCTATGCTTCATTGATGACTATTCCTTCATTTTTCAATTGAAAACCCTATATGAGGCCCCAATTTGAGAATCTGACGAGGAGTAACTTCCCTTTTATTTTAAAAAATAAACAAAAAATGTACTGTAATTTATGTTTTTCACTAAAAAATCATAATTTTTTTTTCATTCTATAATAGTTATAGCTTAATTTTATGTCTTCAAATGTGTCCTAAGTTAGAGAATATTAATTAAAAATATGAAAGAATAATAATTGTTTCACTTATATTAGTAATATCAAAAACAAAAAAAAGTTTTCATTTTTTTTTTAACGACATCTCTTATAAACTAAAGCCAACGTTCTAACTCACAAAACTTATCAAAATATTATGTGTATATATGGTATTTCTCTTCATTTTCATTTTACGTTTAATGTCTGGTGGGGCAGCTGGAGCAATTGTGTGCCTTGTTTTACATATATGTATGATTTTAATGTTCCAAGTACGTAGATCTACATGTATACGGTGGAGCGTAGTCTGCATACATGTAACAGTATACACTTATTTAATGACTACGAGGTAAACAGTCAAAATGTTGTCCCGAGGTAGTGGGGGAGACCTGGGAAAATGTTGCCCAAGGCCGAAGGCCGAGGGCAACAGTTTCCCAGGTCTCCCCCACTACCGAGGGACAACAGTTTGACTGTTTCACCGAGTAGTCATTGAATAAGTGTTTTATTACCTAACCTACTATATAATTAATTAAATTGGAATAAAAACACACAAACAATCAATAAAACGTTTTCACAACTGTTTATTCACATACTTGTCTATTAATTAGCTGAACACATAATATGAAGATAAAATTGATATTTTTAATTTAAAGTAATACCTATTAAATGGATTGTTTGTGTGTCTTATTTAAATTTGATTAATTATAGAGCAGGTAAATAGTGATGTCGTGATCATCAAAACGCTTGAATATCACGATGACGCTTTAAATAGTCAACAGTTCATTCTGTGGACCGGTCAACAGCTCACTGTTTCATGATCACGCAAAAACATAAAGTAAACCGTGAAACAGTTTAAAATGCCTAATTATAATTTATGTAGTAGGTTAGGTAATAATCATTGTTCATGTTTCAACGTAATCACATGTGCGTAGGGCCTATTTGTTATGTGTACTTATGACTGAAATAATTGTGGTCAGGTCTTTCAGACTTCTTAGTCCATCTTGCTATTTGAATACTGGACACCCGTTGGTATTTACACAGGCACTTGAATTTTTATCAATGAGTCGCTAAATAAGCCAAATTAATATCGAAAAATTCTACCCTATTCTATAAATACACAAGGTGTGCAACGCCAATTTGACCCCCTCTCGGTTCAGGCTTGAATTTAACATATAAATCGGACATGCCTACCGGTTTGCGTGTAGCATTAGGTTCAAATATGATATTTCTCGCTATTCATTTCTTCCTTAAGTTTAAATCCAACGCGTTGATAATACAAACAACTAAAATTCATGCAAACTTCGAATTTCGTTCCAAGGCCCGATTGCCATCAGCTGACGTCACGGAAATGTAATCTCTACACCAAATGCTCTAATACATAAATTAATCAAACATATGTTAAATAAAATCAAGGATAACAGACAGTATGATTTTTCCGTATTTAATTATTTCTTTTTTTTTGTTTATTAATGAAATAAATCTATAATTGTTGTATTAAAAAGTTTATGTATTAGAACATTTGGTGTAGATATTAAATTTCCGTGACGTTTCGCGTTGCGCAGTTGACGTATTTTCGTCACGTTCGAATCACCTTAATAAGATTTCAAGGTTTTTGGAAGTCTTGGAAAAGGTCTTATGAAAGTTTCCATTTGTACCCTATAAAAGGATAAAAAAAATAATACAGTTTTAGATAAATATGATTTTCTTGAATCCAGCCTTAGATACCAATGCTTATAAGCATGATATGAAATAAGAAGAGATTTGTAGTGTCTTTCAATGATAGCAAAAGCCTTTTACACTATGTATTAAAGAATACATGACTGAAATAGGAGACTAAAAATACCAAATCAGTATAAAAATCATGACAATTTCTATAAATGCCTGGATACGTATCGTTTTTTAACCTAAAATAAATTTGCTGATTAATTTGCAATTAGAAAATATATTGATGATATTCCAGTTCGCTTTTTCTGCAAAAATATTGGAGATTAATTTAACAATTTTCCCTATATAATATAATTTACTTTTATCTTTAACTTTAAAGAAATACTGTGGATAAATTTACATAACATTGTGGACTCAGAGATACTTTTATGAGTATTTTTGATTACTTAACTGCTAATTTTATAAACCTGAGGATCGGACAACCTTAAGTAAGTAAGTAAGTAAATTTTATTAATAGTAGTAGTCGGACTATAAACATTTAACACAAAACATGAGCTGGTTTACCGACAACTATAAAATGTACCTAATCCTATATAAATAAGAGAAATTCATTCTTGAACAAAATGGAACATAGATGACGAAATAAAAGACACAAGATAGGAAAGCACATCCAAAATTATGCATCAAATAAAGGTTGTGCACTTATAAAATAAGAGACGAGGAATGTAGGACAACACTTATATAGTAAAACCATACCTTAAAACCAGAAAACAGTTACACAACAAAGGGAGGAAACGTTAAGTATGAAGCATAAAAGTCTGGAGTCTACATTTATAAATTAGTTCCCCACACCAAGTTAAAATGTAGTTTGAAAATTGATTATAAGAGGGGAATTTTCTGACTTCATTTGGAGGAGAGTTCCAGACGTTTTCTCCCTCATACCTTAGAGATTCATTACATACCTTATTGTACTTGGACTTGGACTCTCTGTAGTATCGGTATATCTAAAATTGTAAGGATTTAAAATAAACAACTATGTTTATCATGCGACTCTTAAAGCAAACGTTATTACCATTGTGCCAAGCTGGATATTTTGAGAACTGATTTCATTTTCGTTTTTGGAAACGTACAAAAAATGGGAGGACATTTACCATCCGACACAGTCTTTTGATGCTCCACCGTGGAAAGGTAAATTAACTTAAGTCAGGTATATTCACAAAAATTATTTATCTCTATTTAAATCATTCTTTATCATTGATCATTAACTTTAAACAAGTTTGATTCGTTAAAAAATAGATTCTCCGTCCGTGATTTTCTTGAACTTAAATGTTGCATGTACTCACTTGCCCTGTAGACAAACTGGATCTGAAAATCAATTAGGATATTTAATAGCATCTATATATATATATATATATATATATATATATATATATATATATATATATATATATATATATATATATATATATATATATATATATATATATATATATATATATATATATATATATATATATTAAAGTCATCCAAATAGGGTCAGGTTAATTGTAGTGAAGACAAAGCTTTAGTTAGGCACTATAATTGTTACAGAAGTTCATTTGTACCATGTTTTTTTAAATTTATGTACTTTGAAATTTTCGTCCCGTTTTATTTTCGCCCCTTTCGCCCTACTCCTATTTGGGCGAATTTAAAACGGGGCGAATTCATAAAATACAGTATAATTTCTTAAACAAAAGTATGACTGGTCGAATTTAAAACTGGGCAAAATTGTTTGCAAGGGTGAAAGGGCGAAAATAAGATGAGGCGAAAATAACCCTGTATTATAACAGTATTATTAAGATAGATACCTTTCTTTGTGTATTCTTGTTTTATGGTCGTTTTGTCTATTTTGTAAAAAGCTAAGAGAAGTAAAAAACTTTTTGGAATATTGGTTTATTATTGACGTTTAGTTAATGAACACCGTAGTTTTGATACTAAAAATGAAAATAATAATATTTTTAATCTTTTAGATACATGTAGCGTTCCAAAAAATAACATGAAAGTCCAATTTTACCACCTACTTACGATTATGTCTAAATATAATTAAAATGCATCGATTCTTTTTATGTCACCTGTAAATCAAGTTAGAGGGTATATAGTATTTGCTCTGTCCGTCCGTCTGTCTGGCTGGCTGTTTGTCTGTTTGTATGTTCGCAAAAACTTTAATCTTGCCCATATTTTTTGAGTGGATGCTGCTATTGATTTCATATTTCACTGATGTATTAATTGTGACATGACTTTTATTTTGGTACCATCAAATTTGAACTTTCGACCTTGGAGTTTGACCTACTTTTACAAAAAAACCCAGACTTTCATATTGACCATAACTTTTTAACTATTGGTACTAAGACTTGCATACTTCTTGTATGTATTCTTCGATCTAAAATCTTTCATTGGATACCACCAATTATGAGCATTTGACCTAGACCTAAGTAGATTTACCTATTAGCAAACTTTAACCTTGGCCATAACTTTTATAAACGATAAAGGCTAGGGCTTTCCATCTTTACACACGTAATCTTTGTGACAAGACCTTTCCTAGAATACCAACAACTTTGACCCTTTGACAGTGACTTTAAAAACTTTCACTTTGGCCATTGCTTGTAAACAGTGAAAGCTAGGGCTTTAATACTTCAAAAATGTTACCCCTGTGACAAGACCTTTGTTTAAATATCAACAACTTTGACCCTTTGACCTCGACCCTGGAATTTGTCCAACCTTTTAAAAACTTTAATCTTTATTATAACTTTTGAACAGGTGGTTCTATGGCTTTCTTATTTCACAATTGTATTTTTTCCTGAAAAAACCTTACTTTGGGTACTAACATATTAGATTTACATTTGAGAAAGTTTTACTTTCGCTATGTTGCCAAACGGGGGCATCAGTTTCATACACACATCTTTTTTTTCTTCAAATTGGCTTATACTTTGGGTAAGAGTAGGTTCTAATTTCCTTCGTAATAAAATTTCATTCATGCTCCACACATTACGAGTACTTGTATATACTGTATACGGGAAAATTTTAGTCCCCTTTTATTTTTCGCCCCTTTCGCCCTATCCTCATTTGGGCGAATTAAAACTGGATGAATTCAAAGATCACATTTTATTTTCTTAAACAAAACTATGATAGGGCAAAGTAAATTTAAAACGAGACAAGTTTTTTTCAAGTGTGAAAGAACGAAAATAACCCTGTATACAGTACCTAGCTAAATTCACTATACTTAATTTAACAGAAGAAAAGGAGCATCGTGCTTTTCAATGAAGGATTTTAATTGAAAAAAGTAATATTTGGTGAAAAACTGGGCGGTTAATGGCCCCCTCCCTCCATAAGCACCTTAAGCAAATTTTACGTAGTAGCTCTAGATCTGTAAAGGTTTTCGTACTTAGTTTATCAGCAAATTATTTTTTTTATTTTTTTTTTAGGATTTTTAGCCTATTTCATTTCATTCTTAGTTGAGAAATGATATGAAATATATAAATTCATACTTTAAAGAATATATGATTCAAAGTCAACCAACATAAATTAAAAAATAAATCTATAAATACTGTTTTCAACATATTTTATGAAATGGCCCTCTGTCGTAGTAAGTTGTTTGATCCGTGTACTTCTAATATGTATTGCTTTTTAAATAAAAAAAAATGTTACAATCTACTACATACAGCTTCAGCTAAAAGCACATTTTATTGTAAAGTTTGTGAGATTGGGTCCAAGGAGGGAGAAAATATTTCTCAAAACAAAGGTGTTACAGACATATGTGACCTGTACTTCTGTCATAGGATTTTTTTAATCATATCTTATACACTTTCGTCGGTATTTCAGGTGTGAAGTATTAGATATGACCACAAAACTTAAGGGACGAAGGATGATTGATTGACTGTGAATTTCGTTACGCCGATTCGACATTAAGCCTTTTCAGAGGGACTAAAGAACAGAAATGTGTGTGGAGAAATATTCTTATTTTACATTTAGATTTGAATGTCTGCAATTTGGAATCGGAATTACATGGCTTAGTTTACAAGGGCTGTTCAATAAATAATACCATTATATCCATGACATACAACATAGAAATCATATGACATAAAGCTTGACTTTCTCTCATTATTAACCGTTAATGAATTGATAACAGTTGTTGTGACCATTTTTTATCGCTTAATTTCATTGTAGGAAGGTGAAAAACAAGGATTATTCGAGACACTTCATTAAAATGAAAGGTAAAGAATCACTAAACAACAGTGAAATTAAACGCATCATTAAAACTGATGTAAAACTTGTTATGAATCCCAAAGAAATTTTAACCGAAATATGTGAAATTTACAGAAACAATTGTCTGTTTTATAGACACGTAAGCAGGTGGATTTGAATGCACAAAAATTGTATAATGGGCATCAAAATTGGGTACCGTCCTTGGCGACAAGGACATACAACAATCGCTTTATATATGCATAAATTCAACACAAACAAATTATCACTGAGTATGTTTGATTTAATTTAAGATATATAGCAAAATTGATAAACAACATTTGGGGGTAGTTCACACAGTTTTAAAGAAACATTTTATAGTAAAAAAAAATGTAATACTCAAAGGTCACCCTTTATTTTGAAAAAGAGTGAAAACGACAGCGCGTAGGAATATCTAAACAATTATTTGAAAACATCAAAAATTGTACTTATCCACGTTTGTCTGAAATTCAAACAGATAATGAATCTTGAATCCATTTTGCTTTAAACCCTCTAAACAAATTTAAAATAAGATGTACTTGATAAAACAGCAAAGGTCCGAGAAAAGCAAAAAATTGCAAGCGCATAACAACAGTTTTATATGTTATTTTCTTAAATATTAGTGGTCTTGTTGTTCAAATTCTTATTCGGAGAGGAAGTTTATTTTCTGGAGGAGTCTTGAAAGCAAAAGTTTTGCCCCAAAATTGAACGTTTTATGAGAGAAAGGAACCAGAATGAGGAATTCACTACATTTAATTTCTTCACGATAGCGTCCAAAACCACAGGCCATAAAGAGTAAATGAGTTTTGGGGATATAGTTAATGTTTTGTACGTCACACCAACACTATTTGCCAGATCTTTGAACCTTTGACTTGTTCCATTCCCCAAACTTAAAAAACACCTTTCAAAAAAGAAAAGAAAAGAAAAATGACCAGGATATCATAGGATCTGCTTCATTCCAGTATATGAAGGGTCAAACTCAAAAATGTGTTCTAAACTCAATTAGAAATTTAAAGAAAATGTTACGGACATGTGTTTTAATTAAAAGAGAATATTTAAGTGTAATCATTAACACTAAATCATAGGAGAGCGGCTTTTGTTTCTTTCCAATCACTGATGACAATATTTATTGAACAGCCCTTGTATGGCAAACATTTACAAAGGCCGAAAAAAGACCTTTCCGAACTTGATCTCAGATCGTCTACAAAGCATTTACCAATAAAGTATGAAATCGTAAGTATCAGGATATAAGTATCAGTCAGATAAAACCAAGGGGAAAGAAAATATACCCAATCTCATATTTTACAGAGTTTGTTTTTATACTGACCTCTAAGATATAAAATTGGTTCAAGACCATTGAACACTTTTACTCTGGGTGTTCCGTCGGATACTTAATTTGGGATGTAAATACACTGAAACTTACAGATTAATAGCTTTAAGGCACATATTGTAATGATCGGACATAGGATAAAAACTAGATGTGATTGTGAAACACTATGCACCCAGCGGAAAAAAAGTTCTAAAAAGCTATTTTTAGCATGAAGGTCACAGTCAAAGTAACAAGGTCATAGACCCTGGAGTCATTTAAAAGAACTTATAATTGGTGAAGTTTGCATTTCAAATATGATGTCTACCTCCTACGGTTCAAAAGTTATGGCGAAGATTAAAGTTGACAACAGAAAGACAAACAGACATAAACAACAGAAACAGTATACGCCCGGATCTCGATCTTGGTGTATAAGAATAAAAAAATTAATATTAAATTGTCTTTCCCCCCTTTAATGAGATATTAACTTTTTCGCCACATTAAGCTTTTCTGAATATAGTTGAAAGATTTTAATACATTAAGCCTTTTTTAGAAATATATATAATATTATAATTAAATGTTGATGGAATGTTTGTTGATACTCACATTTATATACCTCATTGGAAGAGAATGTCTCATCTGGACAGCCTGTTAACTTATTACAAGGAACTGTATTTACATCTCTCGCCATGTGATTGTACTGTGGACAGTGATCTTGAAAAAAATTTCTTTTTTATTTATTTAAAATTACAAAATTGCAATCTTAAATTAAAACTATAAAGTAGTAAAAAAGGATAAATCCATTTCGTATAACTTTTTTAAATATGCAAAAAATGAGTGTATAATTTATCAATAGGAAACAATGTTTTCAAATGTCTTAAAAGAAAATAATCATTCGATGTTTTTGTTCGTGTTTTACATTAGAGCTTGGTTGTTAAAGTCACTCAAATACGTATTCATCAGATCAGTCTCTCAGATTTCTTTATAAATATATTTCTTGCTATTTTCTATATTTATCAAAAGCTTTTCTTTCAATGTTTAGCAAATAAATGAAGGCACTGAATTAAAATACATATGTAGTAAACATACTTTCGTTTTAGTTGTCTTACTTTTTGGAACCTGTGCAGGGGGTCCTTTGAGGCATATTTCTCCTAGAGTTCCATTATTATCAAAAAGACAATGATAGACTTTATTCGTTTTAGAACAATTTCGGTGCCGGCCTTGATTTTCCCAATCATTTCTATTGCCCGGACACGATGCAGTATTCGAAAACATGGCCTCGTAGGTTTTCCCCATTGTCACCTGAGATCGAATATTTTTAGCATCAAGGTATTTTCCTTTTCACAAGTTCAAGATATAGGTATATTATTTTAAGGGCCTTCTTTACACTAGTGAAAACTCTTTTTTTGGACTTTAAGAAAATAAAACGGCGAGTTAACGAGGCCTGATCTAGTTGAAAATTACGAAAACGGAATGATAAAAAAATTTAATTCTTGGAAATATATTTGTATGTTTCATGCTTAGAAAAATTAGAATGAAATTTTGTAACCTTGCCTTTATTGTAGTCAAATGGGGACACCGTCAAGATATGGACCATTTGTCGTGTTTTTATACACAATTAAATACTAAAACTCTCCAGTAAACAAGAAAATTTACAAATTAAAAAAAAATACATGATGAAATTCTTCTTATAAAAAATGAAAAGAAAATTGGAGGTAGCCTTTATTGCAGTGAAAAGGAGGCATGTTTTTATACACAATTACATACTAATTTAAAGAAAAATAAAATATTTCGGGTGTTGCATTTAAATGATTCATAGACTTTTTTTTAAAACTGAAGATAATCCATGCATATTTAAGTCTGCAATAAAAAGAGTGTGTATAAATACTTCAACATGCTTAAGGAGAAAGACTAAAATCGTATACTTTTGGTTGCAGTGTAAAACAATATAAAATTAATGAATCTGTCCCACAAAATTGATCCCTCAAAATTAATTATGTTCCAAAGTTATTTATTAATTGAAACAAATATCTAAAAATAAATATTTACATTTCTAATAAAATTTTCCTATGATTCTTTACAAAATAAAATGCAGTATATTTTCTTATGAACTACATTAGGTATTTATCACGAATAAGCATGAATATCTCCATTGTTACGTCATAATACCGCTCTTGACGTCAAAAAATATAGTGCATGCTGTTTTGTTTTAAAAATGACAGTTGAACGGCGTAAATTTATGTCAAGTCATCAGAAAAATAGTGTAAATATAAGAAATGAATTTAATTTTTTCAAGATTCATGAGGTATATGAACTACAACGCTTCACGCCGGCATATTTATCATGAAGCGCTGACGCGCTTCATGAAATATGCCGGCGTGAAGCGTCGTAGTTCATAACCTCATGAATCTTCAAAAATTAAATTCATTTCTTAAATGTAAATGAAAGAAATACCAGCTTTCAATGCATAGTCCATAAAGAGCTACCAGGTAAGCAAGATCAGCGTAACAATTTAGCGCATTCAATTTGACGTCATTTTAATTAATTGTGACGTTATTGTGTTCAATTGTGACGGTGTAAAGACGAATAATGACCCCCATCGAATAATGACCTGGGGTAATTTTTCAACGACAAAAAATGACCCCCTACCCGTAGAAAAAGATTATTTTTCGTAGAAAAAGTGTCATAGGGGTCAGTATTTTATATGTCAGTCCTATAAAAAAAATGACCCCCATTGAAAAATGACCCCCTTTAAAGTGAAAAGAGATTCTTAATTGTCAAGTAATAAAATTTCTTTTTGATATTCCTTCTTAAAGTGTTTGCTTTAAGAATGATATTCCACTTGTTTTTAGAAATCAAACCATGCAACAATTAATAGAAAAATAATTTTTCCTTCATTTCAACTTTCAGCTTGTATAAGTTTGGCAAATCCTATTTAACAATGCAAGAGGAGGAAATCCCCCCCCCCTCCAAAAAAAAAATAGCACACAATATTCATTACATTTCTTAATTCTTGTTTTACTCCACCCTTTTACCCAGTTCTGAGTACATTTTTCAGAGAACTTAATATGAAAATCAGAACAAACATTTTCATTTTTGTAACGTCTTCTTTTTACTGTATCATAATATGAAAAGTTAATTGAAGACCATTTCTTTTTATGTCCCTGTAATTGAAGATTCAGGGGTATATAGTTTTATCATGTCAGTCTGTATGTTTGTCTGTCTATCTGGTGGTCTGTTTCTCCGAAAAAACTTTAACCTTGACCATAACTTTTTATTTATTGTAGCTATGCCTTTCATGTTCAATATGTGTATATTCCTTACTTTGGGTACCACCAAATTTGACCTTTTGACCTTTACCTTGGAGTTTGTCCCATTTTACGAAAAAAATGCCAAAATTTTAATTTACTTTGGCTTTAACTTTTAAACGGTAGATACTAGTACTCTCATACTTCACGAATGTAATCCTTGTTACATTAAACTTTTCTTAAGAAACCATCAACTTTGACACTTTGACCTTTGAGTTTGACCTACCTATCAAACACTTATCCTTAGCCATTAATTTTGAACAAGTGGTGCTAGGGCTTTCCTATTTTGCAATTGTATTTCTTGTGAGAATACCCTAATTTGGGTACCATTATATTTAAATTGCATTCAAGAAAAGTTTAATCTTAGCTATGTTGCCATACAGGGGCATAGCTGTTTCACAAATCTTTTTATTAATAAGAGGATTCGCGGATAACAGATGGATACCCCGAATCGTAACAGACGGACGGACGGACGTCTCGATCACTATATACCCTCCCGCTTTTAAAGCGGAGGATATAATAATATATGATACTGCTGATTTTTTTCTGTCAGTACGATGATTTTCACCATCGAATGTTTTCCTAACCCTTTAGGCTCGATAAATCTTTACTCCTTTAGATTCTGAATCATTGCATTGACCTTAGAATATAGCTATAATCGTATGTTATGAGATCAACATAGTTCCAAATAAGCTCAGGTGAGCATTTTGGCCAATATGCTTCTTTATCTATATTTTTTAGCCCCTTAAAAATTTCAGCTTTAATCCACAGGGAGTCATTTTTCTACGGGGGTCAATTTCTTCACGTGGGTTCTGCAAATTTTTAGGGTGATGACACTTTTTCTACGGGCAAAAAGGTTTTTACTACATCGAATAATGACCGGGGGTCATTTATCGCCGTTGAATTTTGACCGGGGGTCATTTTTCGCTGTCGAAAAATGACCCCCGTTCATTAATCGATGGGGGTCATTATTCGTCTTTACACCGGCACTCAAGGGTATTGTGACGTGCTGAGTCGACGCTGCGTTAAAACGTATGCGCAGATCAAGTAGATCGGTTCTCGTTTAAGTGACACATATGAAAAAAACGAACATTATTCAAGCTCAAAAATCCATAAAACAATAAAAGATAGGAGTAGACCAAGCATGGGCCTACAAAAAATTAGATGTAGGATCAGGTGCCATAGAGAAGTGAACAGTTACAGTCACTGTGTACTCTGTCATGATCGGGAAATAATGGAAAAATCCGTCGCAATTTACTGTATAAATACTGGACGGACTAAAAATCAATAAGAAAAACGTCAGTCAGCATTTGAGTCACTAACTTAATTAAAAATTTTATTTGCTGATAACATTGTATCCACCACAGAACTTACGAAATGATGACTTTAAACGATATTGCTTAAATTCTTGTGTCATAAACTTGTTTAATTGTCAATAATTAAACTCGTTGTAGAAATCGTTTATTCGAAGAACATGATCTTGTGTATCGAATCAACTGAGAAATATAATTCTAATGCAGGTGATGTAGGTATATTGCTGCATAAGTAAGGGAAGTTCACGATAGAAAAGTTAAAATCGTCATATTTATAATAGAACTTGGTCGTTAGATTACCATTAACCTCTTTTTCGAATAAATATCAAAATATGAAGCGGATAAGAGATATGTCAGACTCTGTGGTATCTTTTACCTCAGGCTCGTGGATTTCGATTGCCAAAAATATCACTGAAATAATACATGTTGTTTAACTCAAGATACAAGAAAAAACTGGTAAATCAAATAAGAGATATTGTGTCAGACCCTGTGGTATCCTTTATCTCAAGCTCACCAGGATATATCGTATCGACATTTGAATGGAAATTACAATAATTAATTGACAATACCTCGTCGATATATCTAAATGTCGAGCTGAAGGCCACAGCAAGTGTTTTCTTCTTTTCATGCATAAGATTATGCACAAATTCTGCTTCATATTAATTCGCAATTGGTATCCATGCTCGCGTATCGGTAATTCTAAATTAATTAAAATGAAATCCATTTTTATATAGGGAACATGTTATCTTTACCGAGAAAAAATTACTGATTTTGGATGCTCAGATGAAGAAAAAATAGGAATTTTTTTTTTTTAACGATTCTGTATTGATCTTATAAAAACAATTGCTCGTATTAAGCTTTAAAAGAAATACGCACGCTAACTCTCGATTCCCACCTACATTTTTGGAACCATTTAATTCAATAGAAATAGTAATTTGGCCATATAATCTTTGTTTATTACAAAGAACAGTTCAGTGGTAATTGATGAATTGTCTTAAAACCAGCGCTTAAGGGAACATGATCCATAATTTCAGCTCTTGAAAAAAGGGGGGTAGACGATATTTTCCATTGAAATCGGAGTTTCAAGCATCACCATATTTTGAAATAGTCTTGGATATGATTAAATGTTCTTTATATCTTTCTTATGTCGTAGATAATATAAATATATTTATAGAATATAATGTTTCAGTTGTAAATTGCATTGAAATTGGTGGAAAATAAGCATTTTTATCGTTTTTTGTCATTAAACATGTTCCCCCCCGTGTCTCACAAAAAGCTTTGGTATGTATATGTGAAATAACATTCCATATTACCTATAAAAAGGAATTTTTGTGACACATGGGGGGGGGGGGGGTAAAAATATTTTCCGTTATCCGTTGATGTCTATAGTAAAAAAGTTTTACCAAAATTTTAAAGTTATCTCTCTTTGTTTTCCTAAATAAGTAATGTTTTATGAAAATCCATATATTATCTAAAAAAATATTAAAAATTAATCGAATATGTTAACTTTTGAAAATTGACTTAGAGGTAGGCGGGAGAACAATACTATCGTTCGCAGTCCTTTGCCAAACAGAAATGAAGATTAAATTTTATTCTTATTGACTAATTATAAGTAGGTCTAACTTCACAAAAGTAATCCCTATGTCGGAATGCAGTGTAAAAAAGGTCCTGAAAA